CCACACACACACACACACACACACACACACACACACATAAATAAATAAAAATTTTTAAAAAAAGTAAATGTTGGGGCCGGGGAGATGGCTCAGTGGAATAAGCGCTTCCCTGGCAAGCACAAGAGCCTGAGTTTAATCCCTGGTTCCGCCAAAAAAAAAAAAAAAAAAAAAGTAAATGAATAAAGCATGGAATATGACTGATACCACATCAAAAATGGCTGTGTTTTGTCCTTTGTGGAGGAGAAAGAATGAAGCCCTATCGATGCTTGACAAACCTGAGGTGCCAGCTGCCAGGACCGCTGGGTACTTCACACCCGACAGCAGGAGGCTCTGTGAGCCACCTTTTAAAAATTTTTTTTGCGGTACTGGAGATTGAACTGAAGACCCCGTGCTTGCCAGGCAGGCACTTACTCTACTGAGCTATCGCCCTGGCCCGTACTTTTTTATATATAAAGTTGTATTGAAACTTAATAAGGGGCCAGGGCGAGAGCTCAGTAGAATAAGCACTTGTCTGGAAAATGCAAGGGCCTGAGTTCAATCCCTGGTTCCACCAAAAAAAAAAAAAAAAAAAAAGAAACTTAATCATCTGCACTTGCTTATTATTGCCTTGGCTACTTTTGTGCAGCCACAACAGAGCTGAGCCGCGAGGAATGCATCACATGGTCCATGAAACTTAAACGGCCCAGCTCTTTATGGAAGCGTTTTACCAATCCCTGCCAATGATTTCATTGAAGCTTTCTAAATATCTACACCCTTGGGGCTGATGAGATGGCTCAGTGGTCTAAAGCACCTACTTAGAACAAGCTAAGCTAAGCAAAGCACAGGGACCGCGGTTCAATCCCCAGCACCACATGCCAGCCGGCCCCACCCCCTGGTGGGCTGAGCTGGCCACACACACACAAAATAAATAAATAAATAAATAAATAAATAAATAAATAAAAATTAAAAAAATAAAATAAAAATAAATAAATATCTACACCCTTGCATCCAGAAAATAATAGTTGTTTTACTACATCCCTGCCTTGAGGGCCTTTTTTCTTTGTCCCTGTGCTTCCTGTGTTCTCTTTTCCAGTGCCACTCATGATATCTGATCATCAAAGAAATGAAGACATAAAGACTAAGGGCTCAAGAATGCCTCAGAGCAGCCGGGTACATTCCTAGTGTACTGCTGCAGCCAATATAAGTGCAGTCCATATTTTCGAAGTTCATGCAACTTCTCCTTTTAAATTTAAGGATGATAACTGCGTGTGGACCCATGTGTAGTGCTGTCACTGTGCATATATGTCTCGGGGGGTCTTTCTGTGCATCTGTGGACTATAGCATCTCCGAGCCCACATGCAAGGATGATATTCAAAATACACACAGATTCAGCACAGAGACTAATTATGACAGATGGGCAGACTGGAGCACACTTGTCACACTTGGCGCAGCCCCTAATGGCACATCCCCACTCTCAGGTGCAGCTGAGAGA